CACCACCAAGAACAACCACCACAACAGCAACACCAGCAGCAGCAGCAGCAGCAGCAGCAGCCGCGGCGGCGGCAGCAGCAGCAGCAAGACAGAAACACTGCACCACACACCGTTACAAGCAGCCAACAACACAACCAGAACAAAATCTATTGTAACCGACCAAGTCATACACAGACACACACACACAAATCGAGCTTCAAAGCACAAAGAATTGCTTCATTGAAAGCAGAAACACTTAGGCAGGATGTCTGCGTCCCGGACGATATCACCACCGGTGCCCTTTGGTCGGACCAGCAGGGATCCTCATGAATCGTCATACATACATGCTTGGGATCTCGGGCTGGGATTTTGATGTGCCGAGGGTGAGCTCTGAAGCCTGTGCAACCCCAATGCTTTGCCGTGTGCCTGAAGCTCCAAAACTACCAGCCCCAAGCCCCCAGCTTGTCGCGAGCATCCGTCGACTTCTGAGTCCCCGGCCCCAGGCCGTGACTTCCACCTTGTCAGACTCAGGCATGCTAGAGACCCGACTGAACTCATGCTCTCTCTTCTCAGCATGTATATAATGTATATTATAGACATGAAGGAAAACATACCGAGAAGAGGTGTTGCATAGACACCGTATAGTCAATGCATGTGCACATGATACATGTACACCAGCAATTGTGCGTGCATATGCTGATGCTGTATATTACTCCTCTTGGATCAAGCACAGGCGCGGCGAACCCTCTACCCACAACCCTCCAACACTTCTACGAGGTGCATTGCAGTCCGTCGCATCTGCGACTCGCAGAGGAAAGCCTGGCGAGAGCCAGTTAAAAGCACTCTTCACATGGTTAGACAACCGTTCAACCACAAGTAGCTTCACAGAGCCATTAGCCGAAGCTCGTGCCTCATGGCACCACGGCACCTATGCTTCAGCGCTAGAGACACGTACGACGTAAATCAATATCAATATCGCGAGTACACTCACACAGTACCATAAGGAAGACATGCTTCTTTGCAATATGGCGATAGCCGGAAGGATAAGCTTGAGCAGCTGGCGACAATAACAATACTACAAAGAGCAAAAATAATCAGCAGTTGGCTCTTCATCATACAGCAGCTAGGAAGCTCTCCTTCAAGCTCTATCCGGCCGCTGGTGCTGAAATCTCGCAGTTGGACATGGCCGAGGACTCGAAAAGCAATCTGGCTCCTCGAGGCCTCACGCACAAGTCCTCCTTATGCAAGATATCCAAACCGACGGCGCAGGCACTCCATGCTACTGTTTGCAAGCAGGTCCAAAGGAAACCAACTGAAAGGATCATGCTTCTGATTCTGATTTGACGGTCTCAACGGCCCCCTTGCACATTCTGGAATCTATGAAACTGGCCGGACTGGCGTGATCCCTCCCCCATGATGCGCTTGGCGACCTGCAACCTTGGTCAGGCTTCGTGACATAGGAATGGCAGACTTCAACAACTGGGTCAAATAAATATGCCAACAGATGCTGGGAGCTGACTTTGCAAAAAAGAACACCGTCTTCTTTTGGCACACATCTGTTTGCACGTCCCGTCGACGGGGATTGCCGTCTGATGGTGTGGTGAGCATGCGCTCTCGAAAACTGACGCGGCTGAATTAGCCAAAGAACCAAATTATGTGCAAACGACAATGCATCCTGCAGGATGGAAGGGGACGTGTCACCAGCAAGTTTGCAATAGTAACATGGAGTAAATCGGACATATCATTGCATCTTGACTTCATAGCTTTAATTCTAGCTTGGTTTCTGCATCTCTGCAGGCACTGTGTGCCGTGGCTTTTCATGCCCTCAAACCCAGGGGATGGCAAGTCCCCACACCTTCTGTGCAATTTCAAAGCCAGTTGGCAGCTGCCATGCAAACAGCAGCACATTGATGCCATTGAGTGCGATGTGGGCATTGCGAGCACCGTCGTTGCCTTTTTCCATGTAAGGCACCAGAGCTGCCGCCAGCGCCCAGAGAACAACGATTGCGGCACCTGCGAACAAGTGGGGTCCTGGGAAGAGTTTCTCTGCACGGAACCACGTGTTGAAGACCCCGTAGGTCGTGAAGAAGACACCGCCACCAAGAAGAATGGAGCTTACGGTGTAGTGCTTGTCCTTGTAGCCTGCCTGGACCATCTCCTTGCGCTCTGCGTCCAACTTGCTGATCTGCTCCTTCAAGGCTGCGACAGCTGGAGAGTCTTCTTCCGGTGCCTCCTTGGGGAGCTTCTTGCGCAAGCCACTCAACTCGACACCCATCTCACGAGTTTGCCGCCACTGCCAACCGAGGAAGCCAGCATACAGTGTCACAAAGAACAACGAGGCCATGATAATCGGGTGAACGAGGCTTGAAGCTTTTCCTTCCAAAGGGCCCCACTGGCCGCCTTTGGCCCATGCTTCGCTTGGCATCACAAGAGAGGCGGCTGCGATGCCGGCAGTGGTCTGCGAAGATCCGCGGGAGGTCCCTGGAGCTGGCACGAAGCTCTGTGCTTGCGTGAGCCCCAGGACAACTGCGACTACGGCCAAGGTGGCGAGGCCATGCAACCCTCGCCGTGCACGACGTCTCAGCGGGCTCGAGGCTGCCATCTGGACAAAGCGACTGTTCGAGAGCACGCAAAGCTGCGGCACGAAGCTTGCATTCTCTTCATGCCGAGACAGCTTCGGCTCAGTCTACCAGCTACCAGCAGCACGAAATCGCCTCACGACAATCCCACATTTGCTTCAGTCTGCAAACTCTCCTATCATGCCTCCGGATCTCATCAAAAGAAGGCTGGGAATCCGAGCATCTGAGGCGGAAGGCCTACCTCCTCAAAGCAGTAGGTGGCCTGCATCGAGATCGTGATAAAAACACAACGCATGATGATGTCACAATGAGTTTAACGTGGTGAGATTTGCGGAATGGGGAATTGCACGCTCAAGCAAAGTCAACACAAACATGTGCTAAGGATGAATAACTATTGTATGCACCATATTAAGACAATAGCAACGCAACAGATTTCGCTTCTAGCCTTTCTTTGCAGAGGCTGGTGGCCCAGCCTCGTATCCCTTGCTCCAGCGCCAGTCATCCACATGGCGTGGCCACATGTACGGAGCACCTGGGCCACTCCATGCAAAGCTTGGGCATCATTAAAAACCAGCAGTGTAAGCATTGCTTCGATATGGTGACTTAGGCCCCAATACGGTCGGAACTTCAATGGATGATGTGATGGCATCTTCGGTTGCAACACTGTCTTCACACATGCATGTCAGCGCATGCGAGTAGATCTACACCAAGCGTCGCCTGGCATCAGGTCTGCTACGATTTCAGCAACTGCTAAGCGCGGAACGGGCTCTCGACTGGGCACCTTGCAGACCGTCAGCAAACTTTGTTGCTCTATAAACCTGGCCCGCACGGCCGGTGCAGTGTCATCATGAGAGTCATGGTTGTAACAACTGTAGTCGAGTGGTCGCTGTGACCGTCGTTACCGCACTGGTCTCCGCAGCGACTGTGATAGCACCGCTCGCAGCCATGGTTGTGGCAGCCATAGCGTCGTCGTAGACGTATCCTAGTAGTTAGATTAGCAGCGGTGGTACTAGAAGGAGTGATAGCAGTGGACCGTTGTCATGGAGGTGGTTGTGGTCGTCGTCGTCGCGGTCGTCATAGTCGTAGTACTACGTGTGCTTTAAAACTACCACTACTGGTACTAGTACTAGTGGTACTAGTACTGGTGGTACTAGTACTAGTCGTACTAGTCGTACAAGTAGTACTAGTAGTAGGTAGTAGTAGGAGCACTAGTCATACTAGTCGTCGTACTAATCGTACTTGTAGTCCTAATAGTACTGGAAATACTGCGAATATTAGTAGTGCTAGTAGTATTAGAACTGATTCTAGTAGTCGTTGCAAGTACGAGCACTCAGGATGAGCGGACCCTGTGCTGCTTCCGAGGGACTTTGCGCATTGATCCCGAAGTTTGGGTTCGAACT